AAAAAAAAATATATATATATATATATATATATATCAGCGATTTCCACAAAAGGCCACGAGGTGATGGACAATGAACTGGAGGATATTAACGAAAACGATGGACAGCCCATGCGTCATGCTTCTATAGACGAACGTTTGGTTACTGTGATTACATTATGAACAGGAAGCCTGAATGATTTTGCTGAAAAAATTCATTTTTTTAAATAGGAATCTGTTTGACAGCTCATCATATAATACACACATATATAATAAACATACAAATAAAATAAAAAAATCACAAACAAACAGGAGTCTGTCATGACACATGAAAGCCACTGTGATCTGAAGGTTTATGATCCACGGGCCACAAAGAGCAGATGACATGCAGATCTCTGCTGGTGTCAAATCCACTACAATATCAAACATTATACCGTAATATCAAACATCCCCATTGTGGACAGAGACGTCAAAAAGATCTTTATCAGCTCATTCTCAACACAAACAAACAACGACAGATCCAGTCAGAGGTGTGTTCGTGACGCGTGTCGCACAGGACAGGCCGATGAAGGCAAACGCACAAACCCTCAGCAGGTCTACCAGCCGCTGTTGTCCCAAGAGTCATCGGACGCTTTCGACGGGCTCTTCTTGTCCTTGTCTTCTCCAGCTTTCTCCCAGTCATTGTCCCAGGTGTCCCAGCTCTCTGCAGCACTATTCTTGTTGTTGACCTGAGCTTCTGAGCTCCAGCTCTTCTCTACAGAGTTGCCGCTGGGAGCAGAGTTACTACCGAAGGTTTCTCAGAAGTCATGCTTAGGACCCTGGTTCTGATATCCTTCTTCGTAAGCAGAACTGAAAATCAAATCAGCAAAACAAACAACCATGACTTTTTAAAAAAAATCTGAACATCACAATCCCACAGAAACAACATCCACAATACTAGAAGAGCACCGAGGACTCGTTAGTTTGATTGTGCTGAAGTCAACATGTGACATTTCAGAGTAAAATAGATATTTATCTTGGAAAAAACTAAGTTCTGGTGACCTGACTGCATGGAAAATGATTCTTGACGTCAAATACAGTAAATACATATATTGCAGATACTATACATGCAGTATATGCTGCATTTATTTGATCACAGTAAGAACAGTAAT